TGCTGAACCTGCTGGGAGTTTGCAGTGCTTTGGTATGGCACCAAAGCTGCTTCCCTCACCTGAGTGCTCCTCCAGAGCTAGTCTGGGCCCTGCACTGTGCTGTCCTCACTGCTGTGCTCTGTTCTTGCACAAGACTGAGTCATCAAGGCCTTGATGAGAGGTGCTGAAAGAAAGCAAACACCAACAGATCAGCAAGTATTGATCTCCAAAGTCTTGGGCGTATTTGCCTTATTTACAGCAACTTACTGTTTCAGAATCATCTTCAAAGGCATTTAGCCAAATGTGGATCTTTCCACCAAAAGCAGGAATTCATGTATCAGGCTTTCAGGCTAGAAATATGCATGTGGATTTATTTGCCAATAGTTTCAAATCTTGGAAGGGTGACCTGGTGCAAACACAATTGTAGTATAACATGTTGTTGATGTTGTATCTTCTCCTATCAACATTGCACAATGTAAAACTTTGTGACTAGATTGTGCCAAGAGCCTTAATTCATCATTTCATCCAAGGACAAGTCTCCATATTGGTGCCAGTCTCTATTAGGGCAAATGTTCTGACAGTGAAAGGAGAGAGGTGTTCAGAGTAGGAAAAAAGATGAAGCCACTAAAATGCAAATTTTATTCACAGTTGGCATGTTTATAAATATATATATTACATTCTTACAATCTACAGTACATTCTAAATATAGAGGGATTGAGCCTAAGTGTTTGTGAGAGAGGGGGTGTGTATTAAACTGAGCAACCTAGATTCAATGACAGAAAGAGACTTAATAATAAAAGGAGGGCAAGGACTTGCTCTGGAAAACAAAGGAAAACTTGAAATATAAGCTGGATTTTAGTTAGTGCTTTGGCACTTTGCCACTGGTCATTGGAGGCTGCTTTTGGACCTCACAAAAAAATGCCATGGTTTTAGGACTAGAGGGCACATCAGATTCAAAGGGTAATCACTGAAATCCTACCATATGTACAGCCTTATCAGAGGAAAACAAAAGATAATCATCACCTCTAGGAGAAACATATCTTATCTACTGAGTTTAGCTGTTCAGGTTTCAACGTGCAGCACTCCCCTGTGACTCACGAGTGCCCTCTAAACGTGCTGAGCAGGGGTCTAAAGCAGCATAAGCAGGAGGAACTGAATAACCTGACGTCTCCCAGGGAAGAGGACAGACAAAGAGGCAGTTGTTGGTGGTCTCTGAGTTCAGCACCAGTTACACTTACCCCAGAGAGAGTGGCCAACTTTGGTAAATGACAGCATGTAAAGCAAGTACCAGCATAGGGCCAACAGTGCCTGTGCTTGGCAAGAGCACACCATGGAGAAGTGAGTGTGCAGGGAAGGGAAAGAAGCAACCACACTCTTCCAAAGTTGACTGATGCTAATAAGTGCCCTCGGGATACCAGATGGGGAGCATTCCTGGGAAATGGCTGGGAATAGAACTTTGAAACAGGACAACCAAATAAAGTGGGCTTTTAAAAATAGCTTGTTCTCTCAAACTTTCCAAAACAGACCTTCCTTTGTATGAGCGATATTCTGAGTATAGATTATATCTTTTCCTATTTTACAAATTAAGAAATACTGAAAATTGGCTGGCAAAGATTATTACCTTGGCATCTACTTAAAAAGAGAGTTTCAGTTTTAACTGTATGTGTGTATCCATTCTCAGTGCTTGGGAGGCAAACATGCTGGTTTGTAAACAGCCCAGTTACTCCTTTTCCCCCTTCAGATCCTTTGGAAACTCATGACTTTTCAGCTCAGGGAGCTGCTTTGCTCACACTGTTGGTTTTTGTCAGCTTTAAATTAATGTTCTTGGAAGGATATTCTCTGCATGTGGCTTGAATGACCTGCTCTCTTCATGGATCTATTAATTCTGAGACCAATTTTTTTTGCTTTTAACCAAAGCTTGCAATATTGAACAGTAGAGCTGTGCGAACTTTGTAATATCCAAACTGCACTGGAGTTTGTTATGTTTATTGATTTCCTGGGAAAGCTCAGAGAATGAGACCATATTATTCTAAGGTGTTTTTTTTCCATGTTACCATGCATTAAAAAAACCACACACATCTCTCACTTCCATCTCTGAGCACAGAGAAGACTTGAATTTTAAGAGCTGTCCAGGATCTCTGTTCTCCCAGCTGCATTTGGGCTTCTTGGGGCTCCACTGAGTTATTATCCACCAGTTGATTCTTGTTATCAACACAACATTTTGCCCCACTACCCAAAATTAAAGGCAGAAGGTGAGTGAAAAACAAATGAACAAACAAACCAAACAAAAAAGTATTTTGTGTCTCATTAAACATTTTCATGTAACCTCTCCATATAGTTTTTAAGTTCTTTGCACTCCCCCAGGTCCATATCCTGGCAGACCCATTTAATGTCATCTTCACTACTCATCAAGATTGAGTTGACAGTTGGACACCCATCATCAGAGGAGATGGTGGTGAAAGTGGTGAATTTAACCCGTTTCCTCTTAGAGGTAGGAGAAGCAGTTGGTTCACTTTTCTGTTCTTTCCCTTCAGTGAACGTGGACTCAGCAGACCTGAAAGATTGTCCATTGGTATTTTTGGCGGCATTTGTGTTGAGGAGATATTTGCTCTCCTCATAGTCCACTCCTCTGTCAATGGCTGTGATACGTTCATCTTGTTGGGCTGAGAAATTTATGTGATTCTCTATAAGTTCTGTCCTGTTGCTCAGCCCAACCCAGTCATGGGAGTGGCTCATGCCTTCTTGCTCTTCAAAGGGAACTTGTTTGTTTCTGTACTTCAAAGCAAAAGTGACACAATTGATAAGAAAGACTAGAATTGCCAGGCAAAAGACTCCCAGAAGAGCATACATTCCTATCTCCAGGTCGCTGAGTCCCCGAGAGGTCTGGACTAGGTCATTCTCTTCTAGGTCTCCATTGTTTCTTGGTAGATCCACCTGTGCAGGGAAGCTCGTGAAGTCTATTGGGATGTTCTGCAGATGACTGTCATCATCCAGGAGGCTTTCTCTGTCTTCTTTTTTACTTAAAATAGACCTTTGAGTAGTGGTCCCTTTGCCTTGCTCATGGCCCATCGAGGAGCTGTAATACTGGCCATCTAGTCCAGCTCTCTCCTGCAGAGTGGTTTTCTGACGCCGGTCACTGGCACGATTTTCTAGATGGACACCAGCACCCCTGTGCTTACTGTCACTGATGTTAGGGTTGGCATCACTCTGCCCAAACTTTACTTTAATGCTACCGCTTCCAGCAGCTAGGATGCTCTTTCTTTTGGATTTCTGGCATGATTCACTGATCACCATCTCTACTTTCACCAGTGTCCCCTGGCCTTCTGTTTCAGCAGCAATCACAGGCCACTTGAATCTGGGATCATGGTGAATGGAGACCACCTTCTCATCCAGAGATGTAGCAGACAGAGAGAAGTCTTTGGAGTCATAAATATCCAGGGGCATAACAGATCCATCACTGAACTGGATCCAGCAGCTGATGGCTGCTTCCTATAATATACAAACAATATATGCACACTCAGAATAAATACCAGGGAAATATGTTCTGTCCTGGTCTGTTCTCTCCTCCTCAAAAGATCCATTTATCATTTATAACCAGAAAAGAAATAAAAAGGGAGAGCAATAAAAATAATACCTTGTCAAGAAGCAAAGAGAAATACTAGTATAAAACATTCATTGATAATAAGATTTGTATCTACAAAGGTGCTTATAGGAGATGCAGCTGGGATCTGCAGAATCTACTTCAGCACCACAATAAATTGTATGTCAGAAAGCATTACCAGTGACTGAGATCATTTACTGTTGTATATTTAAATGATAAAAAAATTACATTATTTCTAAACTGCTTAAAATACGAAGTCTCCTCTTGTTACATACAACATATGTTAAAAAATACCTAATATAACAAGTAGGACCAGACATGTCTCCATAACTTCAGTCCTGGATTTTTGTCTCTCAAATGAAGTGTTTTTTACAAGCAGGGGAAAATGATCAGTTGTTTCTTTAGGAAATGGACAGGGTAATTTTCATGCTGGTTAGCAATTAAAAGCAAGACAATAATGAGGTTTAATCTCATGGCACAGCTATGCAGATTGTATGCTTCAGAGTGCATGGAGGCCCTTGAATGTAGATGGGTCAACTCTGAGTAACAATTCTGTACCTGCAATGTGCAATGGTGCAGGTTCCTGGGAACCTTGACTTTTAGTTTCTAACTTGAAACATTTTCAAGCATTCTTGAATTTGAGAAAGGACATGCTCATCCATTTCTAAAAATCATGTCCTCTAAGGACTCTCAAATAGCTACCAAAAATTGTCGTGTTACCTCAAAACATCTTGGCATTCACACATAAATAATTTACAGACAAAATTTAGATTGCTCTTGCTGGAATCTAATTCCTGCTTCCACACCAGACAGACTCCTGGCTGATGAGAAGGATCCTTTGGTGTCTAAAATGATACAAGATCTTGTCTGATAAGAGTTAGGATCACCCTGTTCTAAGGGAGAGCCTGACTGACAGACAAACAGCCAATCAGCAGATTAATAATGTGCTTGCTGAAAGCATGATTATAAAAATCTTGTTTCTTTAAATCAGCAATTTTTCAGATTGTACTTACATTCTAACTCAACATACACACACAGAATAAATATTTATCATTATCTTTTAAATTGTTTCAAATACATAATCATTCACCTTTTCAGAACACAGAGAATAAGGCTCCAGTCTTTTGGGATTCTGTTGTGCCTAATCTACCAGCCTGATTCCAAAATCCTCACAGCTATGAAACTCCTCCTGCTTCAATGGGAGATTTGCTTCTGTCTCTATTTCAGGCCTGAGCCCTAAGACTTTGCTGACACTGTCATAAATCCCAGCTTTGTGTTTATTAATCTTTGGATATTTCTTGAAGGCTGCATAGAATTTATGTCATCAACTCTTATCCTCCCACTGTGTTGCTTAAACCTGCATAATCACTTAATAATTTTGCCTTGCTTTGCTTATAGGGATTGTGCTCTGAAAATCAGGTACTAAGCAATGGAAAGAATCAGATGCCTTTGAGTCAGTCCTGAAGGGTGGAGGGTGCACATCTTCCTCACTGGCTTAATACTGATCCAATGATGGTTCCACTGCACCCAGAAGAGAGACTCATCTGGACTCCATTCCTGGGAACTGAAATGTCAGTGCTGGGCAGCAGACTGGGAATAAATGCCATCAACACCAGTTTTTGGTTTTATCTCAAGGTAATTTGTTTAATTTGTTTAAAGAAGACTTTTTACTCCTTTGTCTTCTGGTTCTAAGAGCGATTCAGTCAAACTTCACACTATACAAGCTCTCAGAGATCCGAGTCATGGAGAAACCCCACAGCAAAGGCAGGAAAAAGCTAATCTGCAGGGGAGAGAAAACTTTCCTGTTCTCCTCAGACACAGGGTAAGATGTATCATGTCACGGGAACCTGTAAAGATCTGAGTGAAGAGAAAGGGAACATAACATGGCAGTGGTCCATAATACACGAACTAAGCACAACAGGGGAAAGAAAAAAAAAATAAATAAAAAGGTTCATGAAATCATGAATCAGGAAATGAGTCAATGATGCTGATTCATATTCTAGTAATCAGAATGGAAAGGATCTTCCCTGACTTCTTAAAATGCTCTCAGAAAGTAATTAAAGGAAGAGTTTGGCACTATGAAAAAAAACTTTCTAATTTAAAGATGGACTTAAAGTATTATTTGTTTGCCTGGGATGCAAGGCTGAACTCTGCAGTCTAGTTGGCAGTATCACCTGTGATCTAGTAGGTGCTGGTTGGATCAGAAAGGAGGTTTGTGTGTACTTGTGCGTGCAAGGACACTGCTTCATTATGACTCACCACTGAGTTGCACTGTTATTTATGGGGTGGAGCCACAACAGATGCAGTATGCCTGTTTGCTGACTGGGGTTGTTACACAGTGCCATTTTTGTAAGATCTTTTTCTATTAGGGCATGTGGTAGCCTTCAGAAAATAGTGTCCATGTATTTTATTATTGTATTATTAATAAAAGTCTGCTTGATTTCATCACCTTGCAATGTTGGGCATAGTGAATCAGAGCAGTGTCCTTCCACAACACAGTACATGTGAGCAATAGTACCTGCTTTGGAGACTGGAGCAGCTCCTGTGCTACTGCTGTAGCAAAGATGGCCTTATTGCTTCCTGGACTGAGCTGCAAAGAGAGTGACAATCCAGTGACCAGCTGCACTCCCAGGTCAGTTATTGTCACCTTCTCATCCAGAACTGTCACCGTCTTCTCAGCCAAGATAGCATCTGAAAGGGGGGACAATATCTGAAAAGAAAAATCAAAGTTAGTAAAAGCCATTTTACATAGCACCAAGCAAAGGAGCTACGTGGAGGAGCTGCTGTAATACAGATAAGTCACATTTATGTTAATGGGCAGAATTATTCTTAGCAGACAGACATTATTAAAATATGATTAAAAAATGGCTAGTCACATTACATAATTCTTTCACAATAATAGGGTGCTTATAACATCTTTTACCAATGTAATCCTAATCAGCTGTGCCATTTGCCTCTGCAATACTCTCACCACATCAGTTTCAGAGGTATTAAATATTTGTAAATTTAATCTGTATGTGAAATGCAATTATTTTATTAATGGTCATGTCTTTAGGTAACATAAATATAGTGCAATCTGTAGATGTATATAAAATCAATAGAATAAATGGCATGCATTTCTATCCTACAGAGAGAAAGGCTAATGTATTGCTACAATAAACACTCATGGAATTGTACACAAAATTGACAGAGGAAACTTGTTTTAGTTAAGTGCACTGAGGTCAGTGCACTGATACACGACATCTAATGATGCTCATTAGCAAGAAAGTTGAATTTAATGATCCGTATAGGGTACAGAGCATTTTTTAAGCAGTTTATAAGAGGTATTATTATGACTTGCTGTCAGCCTTTTTTCCCTTTGATTTTTCTTCTACACAGGTTTATGTTTGTATGTGTAGGAGCATTTTAAGTCCCAGAGCTTTGGAAAGTCATTGAAAAAATCTTCACAGATTTTGCAAAGTCAAAAATCTCGAATTTAATTTCTCTGGCCCTGACAACCTGTGTTATTGACAGGTGTGCTTCTTGGTTTTGGTTTGACAGTTTGGGATGATAAACATGTTTGAAGAGGTAGATTTATTTCTTTTCCTGTTCCAGTGCTTGTTAACACGTTTTCTACTTTGTAAGATTACTTTTTTTTTCTCCCTCCTCCTTTCTTCTGGGACCTCATTTTCTAGGTCAGCATTTCTCTGCATGGCAGGTAGAATATATGTGAAAAGCTGCCAATGACATGATGCATAGGTTTAGGTGAGTTACCTCGGAGTGGGGACCCCAAGGCACAGCCACACATACAGCAGTATTTATAGTCCATATTCTTGACCATAATGGCTAAAACTGATGAAACTTCACCCCTGGAGGACACAGCTTAGGTGTTACTAATCAGTCAGTCTTCCAACATAATTCTAGAAGTACCAGTTGTTATTATTGCTTTGTTCATATTCTGGAATGGACCCTAATGTTTATATTTTGTAACACACTCTCTGAGCTTGCAAGACATGCAGGGATTTGATCTCATGGAATTCATATTCCAGTCTCAGTTCCTCAACCAGCAGTAGTTAATTTTTACTTTGCCCTTTGCTCTGTCAATGCAGGCTTTGAGAAGAACGAGCTGTTTCACCAGCTGCATGCCTTGTGATAGCCCACACGCTGGCTCCAAGTTCAAAAATAGCCTTAGAGAAAAATAATCAGAAACAGCCTCTAAGCATACTGGTTGGGCTAAAAGTGCTAAAGCTGCAATCTACATACTTCAGGGCACAAGATAAGAAGAGAAAACCATCTCTTTTGTGCCTTCCAGCCCTTGCTGCAATTCTACTCCATTGAAAAATGTATGGCTTTAATTTCTGTTGCTAATGCAAGACACTGCTGAACACCTGATGAGCCCTTCAGTTCCTCAGGTTAATAGAGGAAAAAGCAATTGATTTTCCCTACCTGAATTGTCGTCATTCCAAGCTCCTGCCCAATCAAAACCTGTCCATCCTGCAGCTTCGCGATTCTTGGCTCCTCCACCTGCATGAAGTCACTCACCAGGTCTGTAATGTCAACCTGCCAGTCAGAACCCAGTAAATAGCTCAGCTGGCCAGTGGGGTCTGAAGCTTCAGCTACAAACTGCGTGAGGACTCGCACCATGGCATGTTGGTACTGAAGAGCACAGCCTCTTCCCTTCCGTTCGTCCTCCTCTTCATCATCACTGTCCCGGGCTGGTCTGGTGGGACATCAAGAATAAAAAAATAATTTAAACTAGTGCTGGGAGAGCTTGCAACAGGAGAGTGACTGCTGATGTAAGTCTGCAGCCTAGTGGCTGGAACAAGGGGCCTTTGCCCCTTCCTATTGTTCTGCTGAAGCAGCTTCCTGTGGGCATGGACATCTTTAAAGCCCTAGGGTATCAGCATCCTGACTTTGGGACTCTAAGACCCTACAGTGATATGAAACAAATATGTACTAATTTTGACCACCACCACCAAATAGATTAACTGGCAGGACCTGTGAACCAGGTCCTTACCAGAGCTGGTCCTTGTTGATGTCTTCCTGCCAGCTCATGGCTGATCCTACCTAACTTGACCAATTGGCTCTTTCCATCTCAGTCACTAGCGCTATAAAAGGAAATTGATTTCCAATGTGGGGTCATGCCACCTGCAGGCTCCATTTCTCTCAGAAGTCCAGAGCAGGAGCCCATTGAATAAGAGCCTGGTGACCTTCAAATTTACACCAGAACTGCATTAAGGCCAAATGACCCTGTTCAGATCCACTGGCCCTGACAGGTCTTTGGCAAGTGCACAGCCCAGAATGAACATCCTCTAATGAAACCTACCTCTTATTAGAGATGATGGGGACTCTCCACCCCTTGATTTGATTTAGTTCTGTGTCAGAGACCTCTATCTGCAGTGGGAGACGAGGAACCCAGACTGTCATTTCTAAAGGGGCACTCAGATGCTGGTAAGTAAAATTAACTATGACGTTCACTTTGCCTTTCATTTCCTTCCCATTGACAAAGACATAGTCACATCTGTCAGAAACCTGAAAAAAGGAGAAAGACAAAAAAAATTAATTAGTTTCTTCAGAAATTATAAAGTACACCACCTGCTGGGAAAGTGGAGTGGGAGGAAGAGAAAGGATATAGGATTAAACTAACTCCAAGTTCATAGGACAACTAGCAATAGCAAGAAGAGTGTCTGGTGTGTCCTTAATAGCTGGTTTAATTTGGCATCATTTTAACAGGCAGGGTTTTTTTGCTATGAACATTTCCAGTAGAATCAAAAGTAATTTTGATTAATTCCCCACTGCAATACTGGGATAATTCTAGTATAAAGACACTGCAAGAGGATTCTTCTCCTCTCCCCAAAGCTCAGTCATACTCCACTGTCATCCTCCTTCACTTTATGTAGAGCCCAAAGAATACCAGATACTTACTGGGTGGAACTAGCAATGCCTGAATACAGAATTGAGCAGGGGATAAATTTCTCTGGTCAACCCCAAACTGAGACAAAGAATTATTCTGGAGTCCCATTACAGGTGCCAGGGCATAGGGTGGTCACATCAACAAAGGTCTAATCACAGGGAAGAGTTCATGGCTGCCCAGTGGTGTTCACTGGGGACAAACAGCTTCCTCTCTGCTTCAAGCCTGACAAAGGTCTTAGACAAGGTTCTGCTTAGGCTGATCTTGATGTCACTTTATTTATTACCTGCAGCTCTGGACATCAATATTGCTGAGAGTTACTAAATCTCACTCAAGCGACTTAGCAGCTATTGCAAGGATCTAGGTGAGCTGACAGGACCTGTTCATTACAGTTAGTTAAAATGTATGTGTAATTTTACATGTCCAATAATTTATTAACTACCACTTCACCATGATGATCTGAAGGAACGATCTATTAAAGCCCTGAACTCTTTTCACAATCCATTACCAGCTTGATCTTCTATTGCATTCTGTAGATGTATTTAATATTACTGAGTCTAGAATTCATAGTCTCATCCTCATCTAAGTTTAATGCCATTTTCTACTTTTTTTGTTTAAATGGTAAACAAATTTAAATAGTATTTAAATATCACCAGCTTTTGCAGGATTATTTTGCATTCCTAATATTATTATCTTTAAACAACAACATCCTCCCTTACAGACAGATCCATAGAAAATCCATTTCCATCCTTGCTTGTCCGAGCATAGGTAACATATAAAAAAAGGTTACTATGACTCCTGCAATGCCTCTGTTGCAAACAATGTCTGTTTAAGGTCAAAATCTTATAGTTGTCATTGGTTTCAGCTGGAAAGTAACAAGTTTATTTACAGGCAGAATAATAGCTTTCAGGATAGTCTTACATTAGAATGCTTTACACTAGCTCTTAATGGCTCCTGTCAGGATCCAATCTCCTTGTGCTGCATAGCAAGAAAATGAAGTTGCTGTCAAAACAGCCCCAATGCTTGGGAGCCTGCAAGGCAAGGAAGGTCCTCACATCAGGCTGCTGAGCACTGGTGAGTCCTGGTTCTGGGTGGGACCTCTGGCACTAATACCAACTTCATCATAGTGCTGATCCAAACTGGCCTGAGCTGAGGAAGGTGAGACTCTACAAAACTCCAGAAGCTTCATGTGAGCCTGCAGAAACGGCCATAGGGAAGACTGGAAGCAAAAGCACATCCCCTTTCTGGGAGCAGCATGACTGGGCAGCAGCAAGAGAGCAGACATTTCTCTTCCATCCTTGCAGAAGGCACACTAATGTAAGTGTAACATTTTCACAGCAAGAACTACATACTTCCTACCTGCAACGTCTAATAGCCTGTCTGAGAGGCAGGAAGCCAGGAGACCTTCAGGCAGCACTTGGTACATGTGCTCCTTCTCCTACCCCGTGGGGTATTATTTTCCATAAGTGGAAATTGTCTATTCCTTGCTGGCACTGCACTTATCCCTGTTGCCTTTCTGGTTTTTACGTGCTGTTCTCAAACCAGACAACTTTCCTATATGCTAATAAGCTCTGTCTGCTGCTTTAGACCTTTTCTCCTTTCCCTGTATGCCAGTGAGAAGAAAAACTGGGCAGAGTCTCAAAATGCTGATTTCCACCTGAGAGGCAACAGATCAAAGCTGAAGACAAGGTGGTCCCAAGGAAAACATCCAGCCTGGGAGCTGATTGCCCTGAGGTCCTTCACTTGCCTTTGTGCTCTTCAGGCTGGACTACACCTACAAGTGAAAGGCCAGAAGACCAGGACTTTCTTTAGTAGGGCTTAGGGCCAGGTAAGAGCTTTCAGTGTGACTTTCATCATCTGTGTTTCCGGTTAGCAATACCTCATATTTGTGAATCTTAGCTGATTAACACATTAGGCAATCAAATGGGTGATCAACCTAGGACTGAAACAATTTCCTAATGATTTAAGGGAACAGATAAACTCCAGTGCCTTGTAGCACAGAAATAGCTGAGGGATGTTTCCAAACCACTGCAGTGTCCTGTGCAGAGCAGAGCACTGAGCCCCTGGAGCCCTGATCCCCAGCAGACCCCTCCTGCATGTGCTCTGCTCTGCACTTGCAACAGAGCTTCTAGCAGGGGAGCTACCAAACATCCTTCCATCAGAGTAAGGTTCCTCTGTCTGAGCAGTGGCTTTTGAAGCACACCTAGACAGCACAGATGGGATTTTGCAGTTGGTTTAATCATTCTATGTGTGTGTGAAGAGCAGTTCAGCACACAGAGGCTGGAACAAGGCTGAGACTCTTCCAGGCAATAGAGGTAATTCCTGAATTATGCTGGTAAGTGATGGGAATCAGAGTCTCACATTTTAAATTCATTAATGCTCAAGCAATAGCAAGAGAAATAAAATTTGGCAGGCAAACAGACCTCAGTTCCAACTTTATCAGAGGTTATTAAAGAAAGGAGGGCTAAAATAAGAATCCATCCCTAAAAACCTACTATATGAATGATTAAATAAATACCATGACCTTGTGCTTTCAAAATTATGATTTATAAAACAAGCTGATGATCAGGAAAAGAATTACTAGGCTTGGGATACCCTCTTTCTCCTGTTTCCCTTTCTGTAAGTGGAGACAGCAACTATGAGCTCATTCAGTTCCCAGCCAACCCTTCACTGTTTGAATGAATAAGCATCACTGTTCTGCTGCAGCTTGCATGTAGCCCTAACAGAGCAACATCAAAACATGAAGCAAAGTACAGTACATTTTCATAAATCAGGCCTGGACATTCAGAACTGGGTCGTCAATAGAAAGGCAGATTAACCATGACCGTGTTACTGTGGATACATCCAAACCATTAATCTTCCAGCACAAGAGAAAGACTAAAAAGACGTAGAGAAAGAAGAATCGAGCTTCATTGTCTCATTTGAGACTGAGTTTTCTAAAGTGTCTGTTGGAAATAAACTAAATTTTTGTGACATGAGTTTGATGGGACTCAGCTCAACCTCTGCAGGACAAATAAGCACATGAGCATAGACCCATCAAATGCAGCTTAGCAGCTGGCAGCCTCTGGGCAGTCCCCACAGCTGACACAGGAGGAGTGAACCACAGGGTCCCCTTGCACAGCCTCTCCATGTGTCCGCACATCTCTTTTCAATCTGTAATGGATTTCAGTTCCTCAGTCTGTCAAGCAGCTCCTTTTCTTTAGCATTAATTCATATAAACAGCCTTTAACTACCAGCTCTCCTTCCTCTAGTACAGCTCTTGCTTTGCATAGCTTGCCACACAACTGAAATGGCTCTGGTTCAAGTTTATTAAATGCCTGAATGGAGCAACTGTGCAAGCCCTCGGATGTGTGTGCCAGAGTGTGCAAACGAAGGGGCTGTGCTAAATCAACAGCTTCCTGACAGGTAGTCATTAAGGGAATTATGAGGCTGCAAAAGCTTTGTCCCAAAACAGACAGGTTTCAGAAAATACAACACAAAGGTGCTGGGGCAGGGTGGGTCATTCATGGAGAAAGTGATTAATTTTCTTTCCAAAATCCAGGACTCCCGCCCATGTCTCCTTTCCCTTTCGTCCTGCCTTTGACGTTTGATATCTCAGAGGTGGCGACTCCAGTTTTCACTAAAGGTGACAAGAGAGACAGAACAGATTTTCTTTTACTGCTAATGTACTCCTGGAATACATCTCTCTGCATTGTGGCCACTGTAATTCAAGGATATTATAATGCCATTAAACCCTTCTGGTGCTGTGTCCCTTGCTAAAGCCTTTCTGGGCTTTGTGTCACAGGAGATTTTCACACAACGACACTGAGCTGCCTTCCATTAATTAAGGGAGGCTGTACTTGGAGCTCAAAATTCTCTCAATACCGTGCACTTTTCTCACTTGAGTGACCTGGGATTTGAATGGCTTTTTTGGCCATGAACTTAGTAGTTTATGAAAGTGCTTTGGGTTTTATTCGTCTCCTTCAGCTCCATCTCTATTTCTTACATTAGTGAACAACTAAGACAGCTTCCTCTGAGTCACACACACACATCTCATCTCCAAGCGCTGGGGCAGCACAGGTCAGAGGTCCCTTATTGCCAGCACAGCACAGAATGAGGAACTAGATTTCTAAGTGCACCACGTACATACCAAACACGTGGCTTCTGGCAAGCTGGATGTCAAGTTCAATCACCAGTGCTACAAAATGTGCAGAGTGGAACATTTCAAAAGTGCTCAGTATTGCATTTAACTCAGCCCCCCAGTCCCATTGTCAGGAACAGGAATAAAGTCACTACTGGTCTCTACCACAGAACCCTCACTGTAAATATGCATCCCTCAGCCACCTGTGCAGCTCTGTACTTCAGGTACCTGAAAAATGCCCACAATTCAACTGGTATCCTTGCAAGTGATGCTGCTTGTGTCACTTGTCCTGTGTCACACAAGACTGTTTCCTTGGCAAACAAATATTGATCAGAGAAGGAGGGGAATATTGCTGCTCCAAGGCAAGGCACTTCTGTTTTATGTTTACTTAAAAAGTCTGTTTATCTTATTTTAAAAGAAGTCAGCACTCCCCTTCAAAATATTCCCTATTCTGTATGCTCTTTGGGTGTGATCACAAGTGAGGGAAATAATTTTATCTTA